GCCTCTCTTCTTACATATTCTCCTATTTCTTTCACCTATCTTTACATGGTTTGTTATTTTTTGCTGTGAGCCCACCTCCAAAGGGGGTATACGCTACAGGAGTGCTGTAGGCCGTGGGCTGTGTGGAAGGTTTCTACAGGACACACATGCATCACCTCTACCAGGGCTACAGGGATCAGGATTGTCATGGACACGTTTGGGGGTTAGTTTCTTGACTCAGTGTTTCTGTATTATGTGGGTTGTATAACGTCTTATTTCATACCTGTGGATTTTGTTCCTCTGTTTGCTCGATGAGCCTCTGAGCAGTTATTCTAGTCCCCATTTCATGTGTGGTACAAGCCTTTGGAGTCTGATTTCTACAGGGGGCACTGATTTTGCCCGCTGCCTTGCACTGACCTGTGGCCTCGTATCCTGTATCTGCATCCACGTTAAGATCACAGTCTGCAGACCTCTGAGCCTGGAGCCTCCTGATTCCTGCTTGGGATTTCTTTTCTTTTTTTTAATTTTGGTAAATATATCTACAATAAACCATTTGCCATTCCAACACTTTTTACGTATACAATTCACTGACATTAATTACGTTTACCATGTTGTGCAACTACTACCACTATGCATTGCTGCTTACGTTTTGCATTCCCTTTTTGTTTCCTTTACCTGGAGATTTCTCCTTCTTTCCTTTGAGCAAGCTATATGTTAGCATTTTTAAAATCATATTTTATCCAGAATTTCTGGAAGGGAACCCACTGGCATTAGTTTAATCTATTACACTGAGCCTAAATCCAGAAATAGTTTTAGATTTCTAAGCAGTTGATTGATTTTAGTTTAAAGCAGTGCAATGGTTAAAATTGTGTGTCAACTTGGCTAGGCCATGATTCTCAATGGTTTGGCAGTTATGATGTAGTTTGGCAGCTATGTAATGATGTCATCACTTCCAAAATGAGATCTGATATGAGCAACTTCCATGTTGAGATCTGTTATGAGCAGCCAATCAGTTGAAAGGGAGTTTCCTTGGGGGTATGGCCTGCATCCAATCTAGGTGGACTTTCTGGCAAAGTGTGCTGGCTTTTGCTCTCTCTGGATTCTGCAGCTGGCTCCTCATCTGACCTCCAGTTTTTGGGACTTAAACTAGCAGCTTACCTACTGATCTTGGGATTCATCAGCCTCTGCAGGCTGTGAGCCAGTGGCCTGCCATCATACCTGCCAGTCTTGGGTTTGCCAGCCCCTGCAGCTACGTGAGTCAGGAGAAGTCTCCAGCCTGACCTACAGACTTGGGACTTTCCAGCATCTACAACTGTGTGAGCCATTTCCTTGATGTAAATCTCTCTATATATTTATATGCTTAGTGGTTTTGCTTCTCTAGAGAACCCATCCCAAGACAAGCAGGGAAAGGAGGAAAGAGGTAGGTATTAACCTATGTTTTAAATTTTCTGGTTATGTTTATCATATAAGAATGTATAAGAATAATTTCTACTTTTTGGCATTAATATACTGGCATTTTATTTGTGTCTTGGTACAATAAGTTTTCAAGAATGGTCATAGCTATTTAAAATGTGTGTGCATGCATATAGATATATATAACCAAAAGGTTGGTATTTCGAATCCACCAGCCGCTCTTTGGAAACCCTATGGGGCCGTTCTGCTCTGTCCTATAGGGTTGCTATGAGTTGGAATCGACTCAGTGGCAATGGATTTGGTTTTGGTTAGTACTATAAATCTAATTTTTCAATTTATTCTCTTATATTTTATAATTTTTGCTTCATGTAATCTCTTACTGTATTATTTGTTGCAGACCCTAAGGCCCATATCATATTTGAATGGCTTAAAGCCAACGTGACCTTAGCTTCATTCTATATTAGGCCCTTCAGTTAGTCTTTTTCTGATACTAATAATAGCACTTATATTCTCTTTTTTTTACAAAATATAATGCAACATTTAGGGAAAACATCTTGAAAGGGAGAATATATAATATGAAAATGAAAAACAGATGACATTTTAAAACTTGGGATCTGGGGATGGGAAAGGGAAATGGAAAAGGTAAAGGAAGCTAAATTGAATTTCTTTTTTAGAGGGGAATCAATAGAGACTGTTACAGTCATAAGGTTGATAAAAATATTAAGAATATGCTGCATTTTAAAATTTATCTTTTCTATCCTTCATAGTTTTTTGTTCATATTATTTGCTGAATGGAAGTGAATAGGTAGGTGAATTAATAAATAAAGCCATGCTTAGAATATTTTTTAATAGCTATATGTTTGAACTCAGTAGTGTTGCCAGCCATGTATAATATGATTTATTCACTGGCTTTCTCTTCTCTAAACTGTCAGCACTGTGGTGGAAGCACAATTAGGTTTGTGATTTAAGCCAAATATCTATCCAAACAGCCTCTATTTCTTTTTGAATCTAAGTGAAGTGGGGAGATTCTATGCATGTGTTTGCAAGTATATATTAGGAAAGAAAGAGAGGAGGGAGAAAGAGAACGGGCTGGTTTCCCAAGAAATAAAATTTCATGAAAAACCTGGAAAATAGGCTTTCCAAATGCCACCCTACAAATCCATAGTAAATTTGCATTTCATCTCATTTTGACACAGCACCACTGTGTAATCTTTTAAGTAATGGAATATAGGGCAGATTCTCTCTCTCACCACCCTACTTCCATTTGTCTTCAGTGGGGGCTGTTCTGGAAGGTCGGCTTGCCCGGGAAGTCTTCTTTGGAAGAGTACTGATACCTTTGAGTTAAACCTTAAGGAGTTTCTGATCTTAGATTTGAGATTTCAGGTAAAGACAGAAAGAGAGGGCAAACTTCAGTGAGATCATCATGCAAAGGGAAACAAAGAAAGGATTCCTCTAGGGGGCGCAAGTCCCATTTTCACAATGTGACTAATACAAAATCAGTTGTTGCAGAGTTGGAATCAACTCATGGTGACCCCATGTGTGTTACAGTAGAATTGTGCTCCACAGGGTTTTCAGTGGCTGATTTTTAGGAAGTACATTACCAGGTTTTCTTCTGGAGCACTTCTGGGTGGACGCAAACTTCCAGTCTTTTGGTTAACAGTTGAGTGCGTTAACTGTTTGCACCACCCAGGGACTCCACAGGGCAGTTTAAAATAAAAACATCCAAAGGGGAAAAAAAAAAAAAAAGCAAGCAAGCAAGCATGTACTTTCCGTATATGTGAGAGCATTTTCAAACATTAAGAAAACTAACTGAATGCTTCAAATGTTTAGAATTATTCAAGGCCAGGAATTCCAGATGTTTGTGCAGAAGCCATTGCTTGTGTCTGTTTAAATATTCCAGTGGGTTTTAATATGTCAAGGAGGAAAAAAGGGCATACTTCTCAATTCTTCTTCAGTAAAAACAGGATAATATCTACTTCAAAAAGCTATTAGGAGGATCAGATTAGATGGCACACATGAAGAGCCTAGTGGAGTGAGTGGTTAATCAGTAAATGTGAGTTTCCTCCCCGCCCTCTTGGCTCTTTCTATCTCTCAGGGCCGTCATGTCCAAAAGACGTGAAATGTTTAGAAAGTACGTGGAAAATGCAGTATATTATTACTGTATGATTACTGTCATGATAAGAAATACTGAATCAATAATTGTGTGAAGGATGCCAGATGTAAACAATAACCAGAGCTGCTGACATCTGTCCCCCCATAGTCAGTCAGCCCATCTCTCCTGGACAGCTACAAGAATCACACATTTCTTCAAATTAAGAACTTGCTTGCTACAAATGTCTTCTCTGAGTTGCAATGTTATGATAATCCGTTTTTCGCACGAAATGTATTTAGCTTTACTTCCCTATTCCTGTATTTCATATAAGGTATTCACCATGATGAGAGCTTCTTGGCTACTGCAAGCAAGAATCATCCAGATTTAAAAAAAAAAAAAAAAACCCTACACATAATCTACACATGCAAGCCTAATAGATTGGCTTTTGGTTTTTTCAGTTAATAAGCGTAGACCATCTGTTTTTCACTCTTAACTTTGAGAGTCCCCAGTACTTGGATAAAAACCACCAAGCTTCATAAGCTCTAATCAGCCAGCTCTAACACTGTCATTGGAGAGAAAAAGACTTAGTACAGATGTTAGTGGCCTAGGAAACAAGCCCCCTGCTGCCTCCTGAGGCTAGTGTAGGGCTGCCGCTGTGGCTGTGAAGGTTGTGGGGGGACTCGGGGCTTGCTATGGATTGTATTGAGTCCCCCCCAACACTCGTGTTCAAATCCTAACCCCTATAAATCTATAAATATGACTCTGTTTGGAAATAGAGGTTTTTCTTTTGTTATGTTAATGAGGCCATATCAGAGTAGGGTGGGTCGTAAATCTAATCACTTCTGAGCTATCTAAAGCCCAGAATAGACACAGAGACACACACAGGGGAAGACAGATACCATCTGATGACAGCGGTAGATGAATCTAGAAGCCCAGGAACTCCAAGGATTGCTGGCTACTAGAAGCTACAGTGGAGCTCTGGTGGCACAGTGGTTAAGCATTTGGCTGCTAACCAAGAGGTCGGTAGTTCACATTCACTAGGTGCTCCTTGGAAAACCCTATGGGGCAGTTCTACTCTGTCCTATAGGGTTGCTATGAGTTGGAATCGACGCGACGGCACTGGGTTTGTTTTTTTTTTTGGTTTTAGAAGCTACAATAGACAAAGAAGGACCTCCCCCTAGAGCCATACCCTGAATTTGGACTTTTGGCCTCCAAAACCGTGAGAAAATACATTTCTGTTCTTTAAAGACACTCACTTGCAGTATCTCTATTACAGCAGCTTTAGCGAACTAAGATGGGGCTCACATCCAGCCTTGCTCTGCTCACCAAGCCGGGCACCCATGGGGCTGTGTTTGCTCAGAGGGCCACTGTTGGGGCTAGCTGTGCCCTTGCAGGAGGCCTTTTCAGCAGGGAAGACCCTTTTCTGTACACTCTCATGTGGTGGGCAGCCTTGCGGGAAGAGAGTGTTGGGAACGCCCTTCCCTGAAGCACAAACCCCAACCTCGGCAAGACTTACTGAGTGTGACTGAGTCGTTGATCTTGAAGCTGCAGAGGACCCTGTCCACGTTGCGGGCATGTCGAAAGCCGTTTCCTCTCACGACTACTTGAAATGATTCTGAAATGAAGATCATAATGGCAAGAAACATTATCTGACTGCAGACCATTAACCTTAAGTTTCCCATCTGCCTTGATTTAGGGCCTCTGCTTCTTCATCAGGCTTCCAAAATTCAAAAATTAGTTTAGGCTGGAAACCAAAAGCAACCATGTAGGTGACTTTTACCAATTACCAACTCATCCCCACTCAGTATTCACGAAGAAGGCATGTTACTTCTTAGTCTGAATTCCTACCTTATTGTTCTTTCTGCTCCTCCTACCTGGAATGCCTTCCTCCCTCCTCTCTGTCCATTCGGATCTTACCCATCTTTCAAGCCCAGGCACTTTTTACAACTGTAATCTCTGCAGCCAAACAGCGCCAGAGGGACAGGGCTCTCCACTGCCCCTTCAATCAACACAACTCCTCTTTCTTCTCTCTTACATATTGGACTCCACCAAAAGGATTTCTTCAGAGCTCGAGGTGCTTGAGATGCTTTGTAAACCACTGCTCTGTGCTGGACAATGTAGCATGTAATTATGTACTGGCTTGGGATGTTCTTCCTCCTTTTCTTCCCCAACCAGAAACAAGCTCCTTTAAGTTAGGGGTTGTTTGATACTGCTATGGAACTCCCATCACTGCTGGGTGCCCAGCAGTAGTATGTCCTTTAGCAAACAAATCAGGGTCTTGCTTATTAGTGGTCGGTTGTCAAGCATTATCTGTTTGAACTGACGTTGGTCCCTCAGTATAGTACTTATTTCTCTCTGAATAGAAGAGAGAGAATATCTCACAGGTCTCTAGCCCTGCATATTAATTTCATATTGGCACAATGCATGTTGAATTAATATATACGAATACATAATTATTAAGTAATTAATTTTCAGGATAATTAATTAATATATATGAATTAAATTCTTATAAAGTACAAACAACTATCCCCTTTAATAGCCTTACTAAGGAAAAAAGCCAAGTAATTAATTAGGTACATGTTCAGGAATATTTGCCTAAGCTTGATGGTAACTAATAGCCAATGTACCATTTTCTTTTAATTTGTCAGCCTATAAAAATTGGGGGTTGGGATAATGCTGTGTGGCATATAAAAAGAAAAACAGACTAAAAGTCAGAGGAAAAAAATGCACTATTGGTGAAAGTGGATTTTAAACTATAAATGGCTATCCAAATAGAGATTTTTGTTGAGGGAAGGATGAGCTTAGAGGACTAGCATGCCGGATTCTTCCAAAGTTTAATACGTTTCATGAGTGTATGTCACCTCTGTTCCCAGGAAACTCATTTAGGGGTCAGGTTTGCTGAGATAATAACAACTGATGTAACAGTACTCTCACTGTGTGCCAGGCTCTGTGCTAAGTGTTGTATGCGTGTGCCATTTAAACCTCACCACAGGCCATGGAGGTGCAAACGAGAAAGCTGATCTTAGTGATGTTAAGTCATTTGTGCGCTATCAAACGGCTAGTGTCTGTCAGAGTGAGCACGGGCATCCAAGCCTGCCAGGCATCAAATACCCTGCCTGTCACCATTATGTTCTCAACCCTGATGCCAAAACGGACACTCATTGTCTTGTGATAGATGAGTAATTTAGAGGCTGGTGTTGTGATTTCTTAAGAAATTTTATTTCTTTTTTTCATATTAGGCAGGTTTGCCCATTTTACGAAAGAGTGGAGCTGATCTAGATGGGAGCAAGAAAACTGAAATCTAAGTAAAAGAACCCAGAGGCACTACATGCCCTACAAGGAGCACAACTCAGAACAACACGCCAAGGGACCCGAAAGATGAGGAAACGGAGCTTCTCCCATTTTAGATGACTTGCCCAAGGTCATAAAAGCAGTAAGCAGCAGAATTGGGACTCCTATCCAATGTTCAAGTGCCTTAGCTTAGATCTCTATTAATTAAAGCTACGGGCATATGCGGTCTGCCAGGACCGTACGTCCCAGGAGTATTAAGGATTTATATATGCATGTAGTCCCTGGGTGGTGCAGTGGTTAAAGTGCTTGACTACCATCCAAAATGTTGGCAGTTCAAACCCACCAGAGACGTCTTGGAAGAAAAGTCTGGTGATCTGCTTTTGAAAGGTCATAGCTGTGAAAACTCTATGGAGCTCAGTTCTACTCTGCACACATGGGAGTCACCCTGAGTAGGTATCAACTCGATGTCAACTGGTATTGGTTAGATATGCATGTTGATGTACACGCATGATTGCTAAGTTTAGAAGGATGGACTTCATATTTTTCTTTGGATGTCTGTCTGGCGTGTGATCACCCCTCAGCTGGTTCAACTAGCATTGTAATAAGTGTCAAGCACTGTGGAAGGTTTTAATTGCATCTTATTTACTCAAGTAAGTCTTTAGAAACCTATTTCTGTTTCTAGTCTGAGTGCCAGACATACAGAAATCTACTGTTTGAAGTTTTTGCTGATTCAAACTGTTTTCTGTGCCTATTTCTCTTGTTTCCTCACAGATCACCGGAGGGAGTGGAGACTCTGGAAATGTAGGCTGCACGCCAAGCTCTCTTCTCTAACACCATGTTCTAGCATTACCAATTCAGCTGCTGAGTCCTGTATAAAACAGGCTGACCACATTTCTGGTTGGCCCAACAGCAGGCATTTAGGAAGCAAGGCAGCAGGATTCCATAATGTGGCAATGGTGGAAACCAAACAATGTAATCCTCTAGGCCAAGGAAGAAGGTGGAGAAAATGATGCTGTGGGAAGCACTCCAGAGCGGAGGCAAGGGCTCCCATTCTGCCTGATACCGTCTCTGTGTTAGCACACACATGTGGTTTCCAAAAGAGCTGAAACATCTGAGCCGGCAGCCGGACTGGAATGTCAGCTCATCACACATACAAGTTATGTAACAAAGCTCCGTCCAATGAATCTGCCAGGAAGTGAGAACCAGGATACGCTAGAACTGGGCCATATTGATTTAACTCCATCTTTTCACAAAACCCTGAACCTATCTTTCAAAATGTGTACAGCTCAGTGTTTCTAGGCAATTCACATGTTGGGATACAGCTCTATAAGAAGTGTCTAGGGAGAGTAGGGCTTTAAGAAGAAAAGATTAAATTTTCCACCTGAAAATGCTGTTTGATTTCATCTTTTTAGATATATATTCATTATGGTTATTTTGTCACTTTTCTTCTCAATTATAATGTAAGCTTCCTGATGGTGGTGGTATTGTTGTTAGGTGCCAGCTAGTCAGTTCCTATTGATGGTAGGAGCCATCATTTCTATTTCTTCTGGATGCTTAGCTGTGCCTAACTCAGGGCTGAGTCAGTCTCAATATAAGCTCATTGAATGAATAAATAAATGACATGTGTTGGTGTAGAAAGGGCATAAAGGAGAAGGGCAGGTGATCATTTACTCAGGTACCAGCCACGTCTAATCCTGTTTATTTTCTGAGGCTTAATAGGTCAGTGAATGAAAAGATAAACATCATTAGTCATTGGGGATTTCTGTTTTCTTTATGTTGAGGTGTAATGCATACTGACCCAAGCCATGGTATTTTCAATCACCTCATATGCATGCGAAAGCTGGGCAATGAATAAGGAAGACCAAAGAAGAACTGACACGTTTGAATTGTGGTATTGGCAAAGAATAGTGAATATAACATGGACTTCTAGAAAAACAAACAAATCTGGCTTGGCGGAAGTACAGCCAGAATGCTCCTTAGAAGCAAGAATGACAAGACTTCATCTTGCTTACTTTGAACACATCACCAGGAGGGACCAATCCCTATAGAATGACATCATGCTTGGTAAAACAGAAGGTCAGCAAAAAAGATGAAGACCTTCAATGAAATGGACTGACACAGTGGCTGCAACAATGGGCTCAAACAGCAACGATTGTGAGGATGGCGCAGGACCAGGCGACATTTTGGTCTGTTAAACATGAGGTAGCTACGGTAACTAACAACAACAACAGTCACTAGGGAAACACAAACCAAAACCACAATGAGCTACCACTTCACACCCACTAGGATGGTTATAATAAAAAACAAGGATAATAACCAAGGGTTGTAGGATGTGGGGAAATTGGAACCCTTGTACACTGCTCGTGGGAAAGTAAAATGGTGCAGCCACTTTGGAAAATAGTTGAGCAAATACTCAAAAAAATTAAACATAGAGTTACCATGACCTAGAAATTTGACTCTTAGGTATATACCCAAGAGAACTGAAAACGTTTGTCTACACAAAAACTTGTCCATGAATGTTCATAGCAGCATTATTCATAATAGTCAAAAAGTGGAAACAACCCAAATGTCCATCAACAGATGAATAAACAAAATGTGGTACATCCATACCATGCAATACTACTCAGTCATAAAAAGGAATGAAGTATTGATACATGCTACAACATGGATGAACCTGGAAAACATTATGCTAAGTGAAAGAAGCCAGGCGCAAAAGGCCATATATTGTGTGATTCCATTTGTGGGAAATGTCCAGAACAGGCAAATCCATAGAGATAGAAAGCAGATTAGTGGTTGCCAGGGGCTGAGTGCAGGGGACAGGGAGTGGAGACTGACTACTCAATGGGCACAGGATTTATTTTTGGGATGATGAAAATGTTCTGGAAACAGTGTTTATAGTTGCACAACTTTCTGAATACATTAGAAACCACTGAATCATGCACTCTAAAAGGGTGAATTTGATGGTATGTGAATTATATCTCAATTTAAAAAATAGGGTTAGTGAGTAGTTGGATAAAATTAGTTCCCTCCTTTCCTTTCTTTTTCTTTTTTTAATGTGGAACAATAGCTTTGAGATGACCTCAGTAAAGATCATCTATCATTCACTGTATCTGAAATGAGACATTTGTATATTCTCTACTTGTTGTGGTCACTGAAGACTTTTGTGCAAAATTATGGTTGTGATAGTTCATCTTGTGAGTGAATTTGAATTTGCTCTCCTATTAGATGCTTAATGTGGCATGTAACACCTAGAATATAGAGATTGATGTATCATAAGCGCTTTTTGATGCCAAAATTATTCTAGAAAATTTAAATTTTGTAGCT